CCATATTATTATGGTAACTTTCTTTAGGAGTCTGCAGCCATAGCTTCCTCCAAACTCCATAGTTTCCCCTTGTCAGTTCTTATCCCCAGAGCTGATATTTGGGCTCCACAAAGCACAAGCCATCCCGATTTGGTAGTGTGAAATCTTTGCTTTCAGTTGATCTTAAAAGCAAGCTCCTTGTTCTTTTGCGGGTAGGCACAGCACAGAAAGCATAAAGCAGCATAAGCCAGCAGTCTGGGATGAAAGCAAGAAGCAGCTGGGCTCCAGTATTGGAGTGACAAATTGTGGAGGGGTTTCTTTTTTGGGTGCCCTGGTGCTTCACCAGCATGTTACGTTTTACGTTATGCAGATCTACATTTGAGACACATCCCCTACCCTCCGTGTCTCAAGGCTCGTCCTGTGCACAGTGATGTGGGAGAAGACAGCAATTAGTAACGTTTGGAGAGGGTGTGACAGGACGCCGTTGCCAGAGCTTGGCACAAGACGCTCAGGCCAGCTCTGGCTGCCCCATCACCTGCAGGTCTTGTGTGGCAGGGTGGAAAGAAAGGGAGGGAAAGCTCCTACTGTCTGAATTGAGAGAAGCTTTAAGAAACCAGAAGACAAATTGCTTCTCATTAAAGCCTGCATGATTTATGGCATGTCATTTGCATGCCAAAACTTTCCTAAACAAAGCTAATTAGGGAGCTGAAAGAGCCTTTCCTCCAGAAACAAGGCTTTCTACTCTAACTGTTAAATAGCTGCAGTCAGATTTGATAGTTTATTACTGAATTAAGAACTTCTTCTTGACACCCGTATCTCCATGCCATCCATATAAGTGTCTGTTTCAAAAGATCCACCAGCAGTCTTGGTGTGTAGCAGGCAACTTTGGGAGAAAGGCGTGAAGCATGGAGTGTTTTCCCAGCTGCACATTGCTGCCTTTTCCACCACTGCTGATGGATGCCACCAGCCTTCTAGCATGTCGGGAACGTGCCTTTCAAGAGGCAGATTTATTGTAAACATATGGTACCAGTTTAGCAAGCCACATAAACATAAGCGTAGCTCAAACGTTGCTTAGATATTCAGAAAGAAGACATATTGCATAGTTACGTTCATCTCCTTATTTGTGATTTCTTCAGGACCGTTCAGTGGGACTAGTCACTCATTTACTCAAAATGCAGCACTGACTGAAGCCTCTCCTCATTCAGACACTGCAGTAAGGTGTTTGACCAGAAAAGGAGGATAAGTTACTCCAACGTGAGTTCTGCGTTGCTGCAGCTGGGTTGCTATTAGACCCCAAGCAAGTTTGGTTGAAACTAGCTTGATCATCCCTTCGGTACACAGTGATTCCTCTGCCTTTGATGCAGATGCACTTCAGCAATGTCTGCTTGTGGGAGATTGCACAGACAAAGATGCAGCCATTGAAAAAGCGGCCTTCAGTACTGAGTATGCAGAATTCCTCCAAGCGGAACGCATTGCTCAGCTGGCATCGTAGCTGCCGGGAGACCTAGTGAGGAGATAGCAAGGACTCACATAGACCAGAGAGGAAAAAATTGAACATTTTTTGACTGAATCACTAAAAGCCAAAATCTTGTTAGACCACAGGAAGCTGTTAAATAGGGTTGTGGGGTTTTTTTTTGTTATGGGTCTTTCCAGTTAACTTCTGTGCTGTCCTGCAAAAGCAAACCAGCCTTGGTTTGCATTTACTCACCTGTGACACCAGGCAAGCCATGGGAAGTTCTCCAAAAACTGGCCTGCCAAGAGCCTGCAGGCATATGACAACTGGCTCCTCAGGTAGAAGAGCCAAATCCAACATGAATATAGATGATAAGGAACTATTAACTCCCACAGAAACATGAGCAAACATCTACCAAAGGCAAAATGAAACATGTACTCACTGCATCACTGAATTTGTAGAAGACCATCAGCACAACAGCCTCCTGTTTTTTAAGACACTGTGAGTAGCTCCCAGGGCAGGAAATTTTGTAGAAAACATAATTTGGTTTGCCAGATTGCTGTTGTGCTCCCAGTCCATTCATTTGTGAATCATGGGATCTGATGAGATGCATCCACAGGTCCTGAGGGAACTGGCGGATGAAGTTGCTAAGCCACTATCCATCATATTTGAGAAGTCGTGGCAGTCCAGTGAAGTTCCCACTGACTGGAAAAGGGGAAACATAACGCCCATTTTTAAAAACAGAAAAAAGGAAGACCAGGGGAACTACAGGCCAGTCAGCCTCACCTCTCTCCCTGCAAGATCATGGATCAGATCCTCCTGGTAACTATGCTAAAGCTCATGGAAAATAAGGAGGTGGTGGGTGACAGCCAGCATGGCTTCACTAGGGGCAAATCATGCCTGACAAATTTGGTGGCCTTCTACGACAGGGTTACAGGCTGGGCAGAGAATGGACTGAGAGCAGCTCTGAGGAGAAGGACTTCATCAACAAGGGTGTTGGTTGATGAGAAGCTCAGCATGACCTGGCAATGTGCACTTGCAGCCCAGAAGGCCAACCGCATCCTGGGCTACATCAAAAGAATCGTGGCCAGCAGGTCAAGGGAGGTGATTCTCCCCCTGTACTCCATTCCAGGTGAGACCCCACCTGGAGTACTGCGTTCAGCTCTGGGGCCCCCAACATAAGAAGGACGTGGACCTGTTGGAGCGAGTCCAGAGGAGGGCCACGAAGATGATCAGTGGAGCACCTCCCCTATGAAGACAGGCTGAGAGAGTTGGGGTTGTTCAGCCTGGAGAAGAGAAGGCTCTGGGGACACCTTACCACAGTCTTCCAGTACCTGAAGAGGGCCTACAGGAAAGCTGGAGAGGGACTTTTTATAAGGGACCATAGCGATAGGACAAGGGGTAATGGCTTTAAACTGAAAGAGCGTAGATTTAGATTAGATATAAGGAAGAAACTCTTCACTATGAGGGTGGTGGGGCACTGAAACAGGTTGCCTAGAGAAGTTGTGGATGCTCCCTCCCCGGCAGTGTTCAAGGCCAAGTTGGATGGGGCTTTGAGCAGCCTGGTCTAGTGGAAGGTGTCTCTGCCCATGGCAGGGGGGTTGAAACCAGATGATCTTTAAGGTCCCTTCCAACCCCAACCATTCTATGATTCTATCTCATAATCCCTCCTGATATTCTTCAATTGTTTTTGTACTTAACAAAATAAGCTACTTGGCTGCCTAAAATGTCCACCCAAATAAATCCTTACTCATCTAAAATTGCCAAGGAGGGAGACTAAACCAGATGACTGACTTAACCAGAACCATCCATTGTTTTAGTTCAGCCTTCCCTGCCTGCCCAGCAGCCGCCTGGGACACATGGGCATTAGGTTTTTAGGTCTCTGAAAAGAGAAAGAAAGAGTTGCTCTCCTAAAAATTCACGTCCAAAGGTAACCCATGAGCCCGTTGCCAAACAAACAAATCAGCCCAGTATCTCCCACTGGCTCCACTCAAGTATATGACTGACTTAGTGCTGGTGTCAGGGGATTAACTCTAAAAACCACAAATCTGCCCCATTTTCACATATTAAAGGTGAATCTTCTTTGTCAAGAACTCCAGTCTCAAACCTCCCCTTTCTTTCCAAACAAGACTGATTCGGGGAACCTTTGGAATGTCTTTGCGAGCACTCTTTCTCCGACCTCTGAAGAGGCACGAATGAGCCTCAGCAGTTGGAAGGTGACAAGGTGCCGTCCTTATCTGAGTTTTATTACAGGAAGGAGGACTGGTTTAATGCCCAAAGAACTATGTTTTCAGATCTCTAGAGTGTCCCTACCTTGGCAGACTAGAGTGAGAAATATCTGTCATCCACAGAAAGTCACAAAATGCGTGAGGTAACGCTGACTGGAGGCAGAGAGCTTCAGCAAAGTCTTACTCCAGACTTGTCATTTCTGCATATTTCCTGTTTAGAAACCAAAACTAAGGGGTGTTTTTGCTTTGTGGCTTGAGTTTAGCACATGTGGATACCAGGAATTTAATCACATCTAGAGACATTCTTTCTTTTTCTAAAGCAGAATTTTTAAAGTTTGTCTGACACGTACACTTCCCCACTCAAATAATTTCAGCTTCAGTGTAAAATCCTGCTAATCAAGTTTTATTATTTTATAAATTGTGGTAGAAGGCGTAAGTCTTGAATAAAGAAACCCCAGCTCCAGGTGTAGATGTTAGCAAGGCAGGTTTTCACACACGGCACGTGCTTCTTGCTCAGTCCACAGGGGGAGGTTCAGCAATCTGGACTCTCTTCGTCTGCACAAAGTCAGGGGTAGTTTAGGCTCCTTTGAAAACGATGCGGGTTACCTCATGTAATTAGGGCATGAAGGCAGTGCAGTGTAGATGCCGTTGAGGTTGCTTTAGGCATGCAAACTTGGCTTGTGGTGGCAGCCTTACTAGAACAGCCTGGAATTTGGTATGGGAGGAAGAAGCCAAACGTTTCCCTGGTTAAATATTGAGCCTGTTTTGACCTCTTCGCCACGGTAGAATGGCTCCTACCAGCGACAGGCATAATAAATCAAAAGCGACGTTTAATGCTCCGAACTTCACTGTAGCCCTAGCTGTTGTGACACACAAAAATTGATCTCACCTGACTTGAACTGAAATTAGGCATTCCGTCAAATCAGCTCAATAACCCAGGGACCAAGAGAAAGACCTGCAAACAGCATTGCATCTCCCTTTGTTTGCACACTCATCTTGAGACGGAATAGAAGGAGAGCTATTTGAATGTGCTTATTTTTTCCAAGTGATCGTGAAGGGAACATAGCGGTCTTATACTGGGCACCTCATTTGGAGGTTGACGTGAATCTTACTGCAACCAGAGCATGCACCTGGAAGTCAGCATGAGGTAGGTAGCTTGCTGCAAGTTCACATTCTCGTTGCAGCTGACTTCCTTGCATTGACGAATCTTAATGTTTAATTCTGAAATCCTGCTTAGGCAAACATATGCCTGAAATCAATAGCAGATTTGTATCTGTAGTCATGCATGTAGTAGCTATCATTTCTGATTTGTATATTTATGGTATGTATTTTTCTTTCAGACTGTTTGTCTTACACGGCGCTAGAAGTTTTATCAAAAAGGTGTTATGGGAAACAGAGATGCAAAATCATCGTCACTAGCCGGGATTTTGGAAGTCCGTGCCTACCTGGAGTGACAAAATACCTTAACGTCAGCTATGCGTGTGGTAAGAGCAAATGCATGATCATTTTAAAGCTGTCATTCTGCTTGCAAAGCAAACCAATGCCAAATGGCGCACACATATGGAGACAGACAGACACACACACGCACACAGAGGCTTCCTAAATCTCCCCTTTCTTTTAATATAGGAAGTTTGTGACATAGCCATTCAAGAACAACCAAATATGTGAACAATCCCATGGGCAGAGCTGCACCTTATGTAAACTCAGGCATTAAGGGTTTTTTTCCTGTAAAAATGCAATTGACAATAAAATACAAAGTATGTGTTTTAATATTTTGAGAAATACTGTCAAAATAAGACTCTGTTCTACAGAACTCACCTGCAGCAAAGCTAGGAAAAATAACCTGGCATTGCCTGCCATCAGTGCAGGTAAAGCAGTCCAGCATAATTGAAGCACTGTGTACAAGCCCAGTCCTGAAATTTGATTCACATGAGCACACCTACAGCCTTCAGCCTCACAGAGGGATCTCCTTTCTCATGGGCAAAGTCTCACTAAAAGTCTGAGGTTATACATCCCTTGCAGGACTGAAGCCTACTTCAGCTCATTGCTCAGACAAGCGGGAACGGTTTTCCATATTCTTTACCATAGACTAATATAGTTACGTCAGGGGAAAGCAGAATTCCCTACAATTCTTTTTGTCAAAAGCAAAGGCCGTGGGACAGCAAAGTGTAGTATCAGTAAAGGTGAGAGACAAGTGGTTGCAGAACTTTAATGTAGTGACTTATTTTGGTATCGTACATTTTTAGGAATGGCTGCACATTTCTTAAGCCTCAAACAGATTTCGTCAGGCTCCGCTTTCTGCTGCTGGCTAGCTGTGGGGTGGAAGTGTGAGGGTCAGGGGTGACTGTCTCTCGCATGCCTCTGCTTCAACCAGAGAATGCGTAAAAGCTTTTTCACCAAGTTACCACTCTGCTTACTGTGCACCGCTTGGAAAGCTGCCAGCCCTGCTCCTTTCTGACTCTTCTGGTCTGTAGGGAGTCACAGCAGTAGCTCCACGGGAACATATCGTAGAGTCCGTTCGCTGCATCTCTAGTGAGTAGTGGCCAAAGGGCACAGGTTATCTGAGACCTGCTTTTGGGAACAGCGGTGTAGGATTGATTACCAGATCACCGTGTACCTGGAGATCGGAGGAAAATGAGCCCCGGCTGTGTCCTTGCTGGCATGTGAGATTTTCTTTTTCAGTCTCCCCATGAGTTAGTTGTCAGGTGAGAGGCATTGCAGTAATTCAGCTTCATATTTTTGAAGAGAGCTGGAGATCTGCCTTTGCACTAATACATTATATTATTGTGCAGTTGCCTTCATGCTGTAGTAACTTTATGAATGAATTAATGGAATTCTTTTTAATTAGAGTAAGGATAACTATAACAGATCATTCTTCCTTGCACATCCATGTACTAGAAAACCAGCGTCTGTTTGTTTGCAGCGAGGTTATGCATTCTGTTATTTAGTGAAGTGGTTTTGCAAAAACACGTGGGTAGTAAATAGTGTTCTTGTGTGTTGCTGGCCCATTTTGAAGACTTTCTCTTCTGCCAAATCCTACTGAGCTGTTCAGTCTGAAGCATTAGCCAATGATTTGCAGGTCTGATTATTTTACAGTGAACATGGGAAGAGTTTTGGCATATTCCAGAATGACATTTTACTTTCTTTCCCCTCACTAGAAGATCCCTGCTAACCTGATGCTTCCCCAGATAAGGTAAATAGGCCTCCCCCTGAAGTGACAGGAGCACAACAGAGCAGACCACATTGTCTGAGGCCAGTGCCACACTTGAAAAGATTTCCATCATGGTCAGGAATGTGAAAAAAATCATACTCCCCACCTCAGTGGTCAGCAACCGTTTAGGGCTAGTGTGTCTGGCTGCATTTTTATTTTTGCAGTTAATTCCTGCTAGTAAAAACTTAGCAGGAGCCAGGAGGTGCTGGTTTCTCGCAGTCTCAGTGCCCCCAATGACCTCCTCAGCATCATCTCGTGTCTGCACGAGGTGACATCTCCTGGCTCTTGCTGAGGCTGGACTTCAGGAGCCTCTCTCAGGAAAGACAGCTCCCAATGCCCTGCGTTCTATCTGCACTCACTGGGTGCCATTCAAAATCCATCTGTGGGCTGCCTTTGGCAGCTTGCAGTAGGTGACTGACTCCAACCTTCCTTGACAAAGCAGTGCTGGCACAAGTTGTAGTATAGATGTGATTATCCTGATAAAAATTCCTCATGCTAGTACCAGTTATTCTGTTCAGCGACCTGGTGCAGCCTATCCTAGTTAAAGTCCTCGTGTCTGAAATGAAGCCGTAATGAAAATTAACAATGCAAGCAGTCAGAATCTTTTTTGGTCCGTGCCATTTTGAATTAAGCATCCCCCTACACCAAGTATTTGAATGGCCTATTAAATAGGTGTTGAAATCTGATGGGAAGACATAGGGAAAGGATTCTGTCCTGTAGCAAGCAAAGCCCTGGGAAGTTCCCCCTGGGAGGGGAGCAGGATGAACATCAGCACAGGTGAAGGAGCCCCTGCCTGGGTACCAGGCCATGCAACAGGACCTTCAGGACACACAAAGGCGCTGGGTATGATGTGTCCTTCCAGGATGTTGTTCATAACATGCACACATTGTTCATAACAGCCGGGCCTGCAAATTCAAAGTGCAGCCTGAAAACAAACCCGCCTGCTCACTGTCTGCTTCATGCACCAACAAAAACACTCCGCCACTGGAAAACAGTTCAGAATTACGATGAGGTACAAGCCAAAATAGAAATGAGCTCATTCTCCCCTATCTCTGTTGGCCTTCTATTGCAAACAGGAGCTAAGAGTCCCAAAAAAATGCCTTCATCAGAAAAGGAAACAGCTATGACTTTGAGCCCACACACAAAGAAAAGTTCTGCTCAGAAAGAAGTGCTATTTTTAGTTGTTTTTCAAACGAAAACTATGCTAAGCCCCAAACCTCAGTCTTCTCTGTTCCATTTAACTTTCCTTAACACTATTTATTGGCAAATGTTTCTATGTGGGATAGAGGTGAGCTTCATACTTGAAATTTCTCCCTCCCCCCCCCTTCACATCAGTCTGAAAATCAATCAATCTGCCTTCACATAGTACAGGGAGCAGGTGCCAAGAGCTGGGTATCTGAAGGGCCCATTCATCTAACGCAGAATATGTGAACTCTCGATGTCTGCATGATGCACCTGCTTTTAGCTCTTTTAATTATTTTAAGAAGAGTGCGAAAACTTATCAAGGGAAAAAACTAATGAAATGTGAAGGGGACAGCCCGCTCCCACCCAGCACATCTCTTCCCATCCTGAGCACCTTCCTCCTTGGCGACCGTTTGTCGCAGGGGCTGCGCAGAGGATGTCACACAAGACTTCACACGTTTCTCCAAGAATTACAGTGAATTACCTTCATCGAAAACCAGTATTTAGACACAGTTTAGCACCTGACTGTAGCGCAGCTGTTGGCCAATTTTGTCTCCTATCCGCTGGTTGGCACACCCCTTGTGGGGTAGGAAAAAAAGGGGGCAGAAGACAAGGGGGCAGGTCCCCCCACTGTATGCAGCTGCACTGATGTTCCTGGAGCTCCACGCGGGCACAGGGCCCGGTGTGTGAATCCAGTCACAGGTCCAGCGCTGCCCTTACTAGCCTCTAGCAAGAGATGACAGCATTCATTATCTGTCCCCTTTGGTGTTTCACTGATCTTTAGGTGAAAATTACTGGCTCTCTACCTGTGCATCCCATCCCTCAGGCTTGCTCTGCCTGCCGCACTTGCCCTTTTCTCCCTTCCCTGCCCACCCCACCTTCCTTTCAGTCGTCTTCCCAGTTACTTTATTCCCTTTCCCACCTCCTTTTCCTCCCCACCAGTGCTAACCCTGTGAGCAGCGTGCTCTTTGCCACTGTCCTATAGTCCAGGACTATGTTATCCCTGTGTAAAATTAATGACTTTTAAGAACCGTGAAATGTGAACTCCTGCATATCTCCTCCTCTTCCCTCCTAAACCTCTGCCTTCGGTACTGCCTTCATCTCCATTTCTCCACCAAAGTTTTCAGCCTATGGCTGGCAGAAACTGCACAAACTTTTTGAGTTATTCCTTCCCAGTTCTTGGAGAAAGTAATTTTAATTTATTGAGAGGTAAATGCTTTTTCTATGTAAGCAAAGTAAGATGAGCAGAATGCAAATGCCACTGGGGAATTTTCTCCAGGCCAGCATTCACACTCTGGGGATAAAGCTGATTATTCACAAACATCTCCTACTTCTTCTGCAGTAAAGGTTTTTTGAAAGTTTGTTTCCCAACTTACCATAAATCCCACAGCATCCTGGTGCCGTGCCTCCTGGTGTGCCAGATCTGTGGGTGGTGGAGGAGGGAGGAGGACATGTCACTGAGCACAGCCCTTTTCCTGGGGCTCCAGCAGAGTATTACTAGGTTAGTAAAACTCAAGGCAACGCAACGGCAGCCGCCCCAGCCAGGGCTGCTACGGTGCAGATAAGCAACACAGCTCTGCCTGGGGCTGCACCGTGCACCACCTCTGCAAACGCTCCTGTCCTCCAGGTGTGAGGGAGCACCTCTGGGCCACCGAGGAAGCTCAAGCTGGCTGCAGCACAGGGGCCAGGCTTGCACACCAGCAGGGCTGGCACTTGGACGCAGCCGCCCACTCCAATCTCTGAGTGGTGGGGCCACCTGCTCCGATCCCTTCAATACCACCCTCGGAAACGCAAGTAACAAACCCAGGGTTAGCAGTGGGATTGGTAATTAACGGGGGATCTGGTTCCTAAAACTAACAGTACACAATTTGTCTTCCGTCTTTTCAGTTCCTAAATTTATCCTCACGGCTGTCAACCCCCTGGTCACCGATAGCAAGTCTTCCGTCAAACAGAACAATGGTACGTACCATTAAAAAATATGGTTTGCCGCTCTCCTTTGTCTTTGATTGAAATAGGACATTTTCCCTCTGCAGAGCTTGGTCTGAGGGAGGTGGGACAGGGTAATGGAGACCCTGCTGAAATAGCTTCTCTTGCCCTGGGAGGGCAGCATGATGGGCTGGGAGCAGGACGGGACCCAGGCGAGCACGGTCCTGCTGCCACAGCACCGCTGCGAAACAAGTGACCCGTCCAGACCCACCCATAACCAGTGCGCTGTCTTCTAACTTTGACTGAACCGTGGGAAGAGTAAAAGTGAACCCTGCAGTTGTTTCAGGGTGAAGAGTCTTTTAAGAGTTATGCCAACACCTGCTCTTCTTAAAGGCAGATCAAATGAAGGATGTGGCTAATGCATATTCGCTCTCATCAATGACGGGAGTGTACTGCAGCGATTGGGCTGACAAGTCCATTTGAGAGCTGCGAAGCTTAATGGAAATAAATTATTTCAGAAAGCTTAATGGGAATAGGCAAGGGGTTTCACTTGGTAATAGATTCTTTTAAATAATTTTGCCATTTTGTAGATACTCAATATTTTTAATACTTTGTTATTTATATTTTATGTCAATATTTTTTTTATTTATCAAACACTGTTTGGTCTAATGTTCTGCGAGTTTCCTACGGCACAGCGCTGGCCTGCCTGTGTTTTAGGCAGACTTGTTAGTTGAAAAGTTATTGGGTGAATATCAGCTTAGAAGCTTCATCATCTGTGATATGATTGAATTTGCTTTCCTTCCTCATGTCACAGGTGTCAACCTTGATCCAAAGGAATCAAGACTTCCAAAGAAAGATGGAACTCTCGTTAGCAACTCCTTGGCTACATTTGCATACATTAGAGGTAGGAAAACGAGGCTGAGATTGTTTGGTTCATTAGATTGTGGCATTTTGGGAAAAGGGAGGATCACCTCAGAAGGTCACAACTGGTAATCCCATATTTATAGCAATGGTATTACTACGATATAATCAGTCTTGTGGATGGGACAATCGCAGCATGATTGATATTTATAGAATATTTTCCATCTTGAAGGATCCAAACTCTTTTAGAGACTGCAGCCAAGTTTCTTTTAATGAATATTTTCAATGGGGACTGTTGGTTGTTCGTTATTTTTGAAAACCTGGTCCTGATCTGGGAGCAGCCCTGGAGACATCCATTTTTGGAAATGTTGGTTTGCATACATACAAGGATCATCAAGGGGCATTTTAAAAAACCAAACGCCAAACCCAGCCATCTCTGGTATGGGGCATGGCAGGTTTTGTGACTCAGCAACACTAAGGCAAATTTTGTTTAGGCAAATGAATTCATGATCACCAGAACTCTTAACACCACAGGAGAAGTCACGAATTTTGGAAGTGAGCAAAGGCTGACGTTGAGAAGCGATTCTGGAGCTAAGATTGCTGCTCTTCTAGAAAACGCCAAGAACCACACAGCTGTTGAGCATCATCCCACAGCCTTTGCCAGGGGCTTCCCCTGCCGGCACAGTGAGACAGGCTCTCCCTGCCGGTGGCACCCGGCCGCCCCCCCAGCAGCTCTCCCGAGACCCCCAGGCCCCACTGCCCTTGAGACCTCCCAGCAACACCCCAAGCAGCCAGGGCTGGATTTTACAACCCATCGAGAAAGGCCATTTCCACATCTGTCTCACTTGTTGCTATACTGGGAAGCGATCTCAGACTGTGTCAAGGAAGACAAATGCTCCCTACCCAGCCTGGCCTGGAGATGCTGGGCTCCGGGGAGCCCAGAGTTGCTCTTCCCATGCCCCCTCTTCATGAGGGTAAGGCCCGTTTTGGCAGGATGGCTGGAAAAAAAAAAAGGGTATGCTTCTGGTAGCTGGTTGAGAATGCTAGTAAGCTGCTAATAAAAAGATGGAATAATGCTGTTATTTTAAAATGTTATTAAGAGGCTGGGATTTTTGCACAGTAATTTGAAGAGGCAGAGACAGCAGCGCTCAGACTGCAAGTGCAGGGTGGTTTCAGTGCATGACCGAAAAAGCCTCCCCACACTCCCCGTCCCCCCAACCACCCCCCACCATTATGGCTACGTAATGCGGGGCGCTTCAGAAATGGCAGCTGGCTTTTTTTTTTTTAGCTGAGCTTTGGCAGAATTTGTAAAGTGTTTAAGCACTGGCTTTCTGATTTCAGATCACCATGAAAGAGCCGCTCTCCTGTTTATGTCCAGCGTTTGCGTGGGATTAACCTTCACGCTGTGTGCTTTGGTGATCCGCATGCCATGCTCGAATGACTGCCAGAAATTGCACAGAAAGAAGGATCGCTTAGTGCCAGAAAGTGACAGAGCGTACGAGAACGGTGAAAATGAGGAAGAGGAGGAGGAGGAGGAAGATTCCTCTGATTCGGATGTCCAGGATGAGATAGCGGGACTTTACAGACCTTCTTACTCAGGTTATAATTCAACAGAGGCGGCAGAACTGGCCGAAAGGATAGAGCGCAGGGAGCAGATCATACAAGAAATTTGGATGAACAGTGGTTTGGATATCACACCTCCTAGAAATATGAATACATTTTATATTAACGAACAATAAATGGCTTATTTTGGATGACGCCCTAGCCCTTTTTTTTAAAAAAAGAAATGTACCTTCTGTGAAGGAACATTTGTATCAGTGCATATAATTATTTGTAAAGTAAGGAGAAATATATGCAATAAAAGGAGAGTTTCAAACCCTTGATTGTCTATAAATCATTCTGTGAAAAACACATTTACAAGTTTTCATAGTTTTATGTTATGTTATGGATTACTTTTCACTGTAATTTGGGATCAATTGCCATAGGCAGGTTAAGGAAAAAGATTTAAGCAGCATAACATGGAGAAACACCTGTGTTAGGACATGGTGCTTGTAACCAATTAATGTGTTGCAGCTCATAAATCACATGAGAACGTGCTCTATTGCTGAGAAATATGAGTATTATTAATAGAGTGAGCAGGACAAAGCAAAATTAAACACAGGTTCTCAAAGCTTTTCTGCTGTTTCATTAACCCAGCCTTTCCCTAATAAATCCCATTCCTCCAGTAACAGTGATCCTGATTAGAAGGGGGTTAAGTTCTGCTCGCTTGAGACCAACTGATGCAATTACTTCGAAGAGAGACGTGAAAGAAGGGTCCCTCTCTGGGCTGGGAGGTCTGGAAACTAAGCTGCAAAGAAGTGCCCGGTATTTCAGTGAAAATGTTCAGGGTTCGAGAATTGGTTTCCTTAACAGCAGGCCTCTTGATGGTAGCGTCACAGGCACACTTCGGTGTGCAGATATGTCACAATACCTCTCGGAGTCTACAGCTCCTTTTTTAAAGCACATCGTCGCCACCGGGCAAGGCTAGCCCTAGGAAGAAAAGCACTGCTGAAGCAGGGACATAAGGGCAAAAATCAGTCTGCATTCAAGACCTTCGGTACCCTGTCGTTAAGGAAAAGGTCACCATTCAACCATCAGAAGATACCTGCCTGAGATGTAACTCTGCTGCTACCCATGCTGGCAAATTTGTGAAGCACAAGCTCAAAAATGGCTGCTTTCATAAAAGACTCTTGACATGGACACATACTAAGAACACTTACTTCCTAGGTGAAATGCTGTGGTCATTTTTCTGATATTAAAACACGGTCTAGAGCCAGCACTTGATTGAAGGTTAAGTTCTCAAGATTTTTGTATGAAAGTTCACAATCTTCACTTGAAAATTGTCCAGACTAGTCAGATTTGGTTTCAGTCGGACAGAAATATCAAATCAGAAATGTATCTAAGTGGGAAACACAACCTTCCTGTCTTTAAATAAAATGTCTCAAATATTTTAACTGCAGTCCATAGGGAATTTACTGAACAAAAGGAGGAAAAATGTCACTTCCTATTGGTAATACTTCATGAGTTCATTGTGCTTTCCCGCTCAGACGCAGTGCGTCTAGGTAGACTGAAGTAGCATGAAATACTTGGAAAGAAAAAAGTTGACATGACTTGTCATTTCCTACTGATAGGAAGTCGAATTAAGCATGGGAAGACTTTAAAGGGAGGAAGGGACCTCGCTCGAATGACTAAGGTGCAATCCCGTGCTCAACTGGAAAAATCTTAGCAGTGATTAGCGTCCTATCAGCGGAAGGAAGAGAGGCTGAAGAGGCGGACGGAGAGCTTAGGTCACCCGCGGCACTGGGAAATGGCATGAAACGCTCAGCGCAGCCCAGTAGCCTGGCGGCACACCCGCTGGGACTCCGCTCTCCCCCCCCCCTTTCCAATAGAAAGTCATCATCGCCTATGCCACTGCACCATATCAATGAATAGGTTTTGGTCCAGAAAAACCCCGTGCCTTTGTCCTGAGGGCGGAAGAAGGCAGGTTTTTCCTTTTGCTGGCCTTGTGAGTAGGTGTGGGACGGCTCTGGTCAGGAGCTGGCTCCTTCCTCCTGACTCATGGGGGCAGGTGCCACCCATTTCCCAGCCAGAAAGAAAGGGGACGATCTACATCCCAACAATTCCCCCTGCTGACAGACCATACTAGTAAATAATGGATCCCCTTCTGCTTATTGACCCTCAGAAGAGGCCGTCATTTGATGGCAGAAAGCAGGCTGTGCACGGGGAGTAGGGCTGAGGGCCCTGCTCCGGCTGTCTCCCCAAAACGCCGAGCCCCAATGAAACTCCCTCCTGAAGAGCCTGGGGCCCACAGGCCAGCTGATCTCCAGCTGATCTATTTTTGGAAGTTACCTGTCCAGCAGTTAATGTTTATAGTCGCTAACATTTGTATATTTTCTTTCTGCATTTTTTATCTGTAAGCCTCCATGGGGTTTTAGTCCTGAAGCTGACATCATAACAAAACCTGGGAGTTGGCCTTTTCCACCAGACTTTCACTTTGCTCAAGGTAAAATTAGCATTGTCCTAGGGGTGGCCACAGAATCACAGAAGGGCTGGGGTTGGAAGGCACCTCTGGAGGGCATCTGGTCCAACCCCCTGCTCAGGCAGGGCCACCCAGAGCTGGCTGCCCAGGACCGTGCCCAGACGGCTTGTGAAAATCTCCAAGGCTGGAGGCTCCACAGCCTCTCTGGGCAACCCGTGCCTGTGCTCGGCCACCCTCACAGTGAAAAAGTGTTTCCTGATGTTCAGAGGGACCCTCCTGTGTTTCAATCTGTGCCCATTGCCTCTGGCCTCGCCGCTGGGCACCACTGCTCCTTTCCCTGTCGTTTCGTTCACTTCATCCATGCACATCTTCCATTTGATTGTCCTGCTTTGGGGTTCCCAAATGAAAACAGGGGTGTTCATTCCTGGTGATGAAGCAACCAAAGTGGCAGCAGATCAGCAGAAACCAGTCTGTAAGTTCGAGGTTAGTCTCTTCCTTAGAGGAAAACTGCAAAATACTTCACTTTTTCCCAACTCCCAGGTCTCTGTTCTACTTTTCCAATCCTGGAGGAAAAAAATCCTGTGTATTAAAGTGAAGATTAGCAATTTATTTTTCTGTTACCTTTGCATATTTGACTGTAAATGACTTAACAGACCTGATTCTCTCCTGATTTTCCTCCCACCACAGGGCAGGCAGTAGGAAATCTCCGCGGGTGCCAGAGAAGAGCCTGCTTCCCAACATGGAGCATTTCACAGCCTCTGGGAACGTGTTTTGAGAAAAAAAATGTGGTTAATATAACGCGTGCCTGTTTAAATGTATCCTCAAACATGGTGGCAAAGCCATATCGTGAGCCCCAGCACCAAGAGTAACTCAGCAGGGCAGGGAAAGCAGCTTTTGCTCCAGAGCAGGAGGTCGAGCTTCACTCAGGAGCTGTTCCCTTGACTGAACTGTTTATAGTCTGAGTTTGGGTTGCTATTTTATTCTTTTCATCTAAACTTTGCAAGTCTAATTGCAGAAAGCTCTCAATTAGTGGTTCACCTCGTTCCCAAATGTTTTCTGTTCACACTGGTCTGAAAGTTAGCGTGAAAACAAGGAAAAACCTGAGAAACAGACACCGAATTATTTCAAGCTTTCTGAAACGACACCCTCTGCAGAAAAAGCATCCAGCATAGAAACCTGAAAATGAATCGGGAATGTACTTACCTGACCCAAGCCCACACAAATCACCATTTTATGGGAAAACACAGCGTATGCCAATTAAAGAGGAGCAGCGTACAGTGAGCCAGGCTTGTTTCAGTGGCAGGTCTGCTTTACTGTAACACAAGGGGAGGGTGCTAGCAGCAGGACAAAGTTTCAGCAGTAAAATCCCTGCCGCTGCCCAGAAAAGCAGCCTAAGAAGAAAATATTATAAAGGAGAGCTTGCAAGTTGTTGTTCGTAACTATTAGGTTTATGCTACGTGCATAAAATGATAGGCCCCAGCACGAACACCTAAACTTGCTGGATGGTGCTGTGCTGTGCTGGTGGGGCTGTTTAACTCCTCGCGCCTGCCTTTAAAGTCACCCAGAGTTTTCCACCAGGAATCCCTCCCTGCATGAGGTTGCAGGAAGCAGTAAATAAATCCTTCCAAAACTTGCACCTTTTATCAGCAGCCGCTCAGGTGTGGCGTGCCTAACGCTTGTGTGACACCGCGGCCAAAAATCCCCGGCGTCACCCCAGCGATTTGGCGGGCGGCGGCTGTGATCGGCGGGATGGCGCGCTGCTGCCCGGGGCGGCCGGGAAGGAAGGCGCGGGCAGGGCTGGGGGCGAGCTGGGGTGAGGGTAGGGCCTGGGGCAACCTGGGAAAGCAAAGCCTGGGAAAACAAAACCTGGGAAAACAAAACCGTATCCATGCAAGCAAGGAGCAAAGGACCAAAACCAGGTGTGGAAACCATCCAGTTGACTTCATCTACACGTTGGGAAGCGTGAGGGATAAACGACCACAAAGATCCTTTTTTGCAAGGTGCGTGGCTGAGCGATGGAGAATTCAAGCATGGGCCAAGGCAGGTGATTTCACATTGCCTGCGGTGGGTTTTCTTGGGCTCCCAAACCCCATCCAGACCCTGTGAAGCAAACGGGGTCGCTCCCCAGTGAGCTTTGGAGCAGGCCCTGCAAAGCACCACCGAGGCAGCAGCGCTGCTGCTCTCAGAGGAGATGCGGGTTCGGGCGCCAGAAAGCTCGGTTCCAGCTTGGGAGCACAAAAGCGCCACGGAGACCCTGCCAAGGAGCGTGGCTCAGCCCCGCTGTGTTTGCGGCACACAGAGCCCTACGCTGGCACGCCGCACTGCCCAGGCCTGTGCCCAAAACACCCCATCTGGTGCACCTCACCCCACGGCTTCAGCAGTGCTGAGGGTGCTCCCCACTGTGCTGCCAAGTGTCACTTGGAGATGAAGAGAAAGCGGGGCTCCTGCCAGCCCCCGAGCACTGCCGCCCCAACAGACCCCCGGGTGGCTGCCCCACCGTGATCACCCTTGGTCCAGGCGCTCTGAGATGCCCCTGGCAAACCAAGTCCTCCAGGAATCTCCTTCAGTATTAGGGGACCGATTTCATAGAATCATAGAAGTGTTAAGATTGGAAAAGATCCTTAAGATCCTCAAGTCCAACCGTTAACCTATCACTGCCAAGTCCACCACTAAACCATGTCCTCAAGCACCACGTCTACCCATCTTTTAAATACCTCCAGG